TTGCAATTGTGCCCGTCAATTGAAGGAGTAGGGACCTGTCTCTTATACACATCTAGATGTGTATAAGAGACAGGAGTAGGTGTGTAGTGTGGGTTTATGGCTGTGACAGACTAGTTTCAAAGACTTACTGGCATTCTTGTCATAGGTTTGGACCGACAGTCTGCTAGATTTGCAGGGTGGATTTGAGTCAAGTCGACCACCTTTCTCAGGGATATCGCTAACTCTGGGCAATGTGGTGAGTCCTATTCCATTCGTCCTGGGCGACTGTTGGGGTTCAGCCTCCTGGCGGCATCGGTGAAAGTATCTCAAAACAGTCTGGCACAGTCACTCCTTTTTTGTGGAGTTCTCCATAGCACACACACACACACACACACACACACACACACACACACACACACACACACGGCCTAAGGTCCAGGCAGACAAGCCAAATACAAACGACGCAAGAGTGCGCTCAATTCCCATTCTTGAGCGAGACATTTTTTGAGTCAAAAACAACCGCTGCAGCAGTAAGCTAACTGACAACTGCTATGGTTCGGAAGTCGGACTCAAGAGCCCCACTTACACTCCCACCGGATGAAACCACCTCAACCAAGCAGTCAAGGGCCTCTCTGGTGATCACTTCACCAGGGGCCAGCACTGGAATCCCAGGTGGATAGGGCGCTAGCAGTTCTGCACATATACGGCCTACAGCCTCCTCTAGTTTGACGCGCTCTGACGGTGCAAAGAATGCTTCTCGGGGGCTTAGAGCCGACTGCGCACAGAACACTAACTTTGTAAACTTACCTACCTCTGCACCATTCTCTTCCTCTTCCTCAAGATGAGCATTCTTATGTTTCTCTCCTAATACTTCACCAGTGCCCGAAGGTGAAGTCGGTTCGTGCAACTTCACCGGATGGTCCGCCGACTCCGTGGGACCAGCATCATCAGAAGGGGCTTTCCCGACAGCAGAACTGCTGTCGGGGACATCACAACATCGCCCGAGTTCACTGGCGCTCGTACAGCCTTCATTGCCGTCAGCTGTATTGATGGATCCATGCCCCAAAGCTGTTTGTCTTTCCATCACGACTTCCGCAGTTCCGATACTCGCTCCGTCTTGATCATGTGGAATTTCGAAGTCATCCACGCTGCTGGAAGAATAGCCCTGAGATACTGCCAGGAAGTCCTCCTTAAGAGTATTGCGCTCCGCCAAGCCTGCACTACCTTCACCGTTGACAGCAAGCTTGCCGATTGCTTCCCCCAGACCATTCCTACGACTGCTATACCGCCTCGACAACTCCTTGAATGCATCGATCAGAGCTTGTGTGTGCTTCTCGGTTGTGCCAGCACTGACTGCGAAGGTGAGTGTTTTGGGCGTCGGCAGCTCAGCAACGACCGCCAACTCTTCTCGCAGAATGTCGTCGACCTGGAATCCAGATAAACCAAGTCCAGCGACATGAACGGTGATGCGCAGCGGATCGAGACCTGCGACTAATCCTTTGCGCACTCGAAGACTGCCTTCCCCCAGCACATCCAAGCCTGGCATTTGTTTCAAAGCCCACCTGCATCGACTCGCCAACTTGAGCGCATTCTCCAGAAGAGGACTATCGCGGACTCCTTTCCCGTCCAATCCGGAGGTCATTTGTGCGCGTGCAGCATCAAGAGAGCTAAGAAGAAGGTAACTTGGGCTCGAAGACTGCAGTACCTGCAGTGCCTTAGAGATCCTTTGATGCGACACACGATCGCCTTTTGCATGTAGCATCGCAGACTGTGTCAGTGAAGACAACACCTTATGCGTGGATTGCACACAGATGTCTGCGCCCGCAAACAGTGCTGGCGGTGGGAGGGCAGAGTGGAATGCGAAGTGCCCTCCGTGCGCTTCGTCAACTATCAACGGCACTCCATATCTGTGGCACACACTTGCTATTCCTCTGACATCACTGCAGAGGCCCTTGTAAGTTGGAGAGACGATCAGAACTCCTCCAACACGAGATTTACCGTTCTTCTCTATGGCATCCACTAGACAAGTCTCAACGTCCTCGGCACTCACCCCCGTGCAGATACCCCAATAGGCATCGTAATCGGGCACAATGTAGCGAGGAGTAGCACCCGCAAGAACCATTGCTGAAAAGGTCGACTGATGAGCATTGCGCGGCAGCACAAGACAGTCGCCTGGGCGACACGTTGCCAGCACTGCCGCCTGTAGGCCACAGGTGGAGCCATTCACAAGGAACCAAGTGGCCTCTGCTCCAAACACTTCAGCCGCCTTGACTTGTGCATCTTTGATGACGCCTTCTGGGGCAAACAGGTTATCTAACTCCGGAAGCTCTGGCAGATCATGCCGGAGCATACTCTCACCCATTGCCTCAACAAATGAAGAGGGGGATCCCAGGCCCCTCTTGTGGCCTGGGAAATGGAATGGGGCATCATCATTACATGCCAGTCCATGTAATGCCTGCAGGAGCGGAGCCCCCTCCATCAGTTCCTGTGCACTATCATTTGAACTACCCCTCCCTCCCCCTCCCCCTCCCCCTCCCCCTCCTCCTTCGGCCCCCTGTTCTCCAATGATTGCGTTCCCAGTTACAGGGGCCTCCATTTTGCCACCCCAAGCAGCAGGGGCAGAGAGCACGGCAGTCGTATCGTCATCATGCTTTTGTAGGTTGAATCCTTCTCCCGATTCCCTCATCTGCCGAAGATTGACGGCCGCCAATCGCATGGCGTTAGCTTTCCCAAGAGCAGGAGCCAACCACGTCGAGCTGGCCATACAGCAGTGCATGCATTGCACTGCAGTCAGTGCTCTTCCCTTGCTGCCTGCTAAGGCCGACTCCCGACGGCTAGGCATCGGCCTTGATCTCTCGAATCTGCACTCACATTCAAGCCAAGACGAAACCCCTGTTTTCCATCGAACCACGTCCCGGCTCTTCATCTTCATGATTATCGAAAGTGGTTGTGCAGCCTTCATAGGGGAGCAGTGACAGACTTGGAAAATATCAGGTAGTGGCTTCGCCCCACAGTTACCTGTCATCTCGGCGTTCCTCCAAAGTGATTGCGTCGCCACTTCCGAACAACGATGGACTTGGAAATTTCGCATAATCTCTTGAACCCACCGTTGGGCGCCGGCACCGAACTCACTCCGGTCAGTAGGATAGGAAGCGCCCCTCTGCTTGCCCTCTACTTGCAGCGTCGATTCCACATGCCCCTGCCTCCTAATCCTCTATGCTCATACTCTCCCATCTTCCGATCAATGTGTTGTCTTCAAAAAGACATCAACACACCACGGGCGCAAGGGCAAAATGAATTGACATATGGATTGATCTGTTGTAGGAGAGCAGCAACAGTCACAACTTTGACGTGCTTCTACATAATAACACCGACCGATTTCTATGTATAAATACTCGATACAACAAGCGCTCTTCTACAGAACAACCGGCGAAGAAGTTGACCACCTACCTTACACAAGGTACGCTGAGCTGAATGACATCTTCCATACCATTGCTTCCAAGGTCTATAGCTCTTCCGCCCTTCGTTATCCTAGATACCTGACGCCTGTGACACAGTACAAGGGGGGGCGCATATCCGCAATCGTGTGTGAGGCTGCGAGCTTCTGAAAGCTTATATATCCACAAAGGGTTCCAAACCCTTATGGTGAAGTCAGCAGTCGCCAAGGGCGCGGTTCTTTTTTAATCCAATACTTCTGTTTCAGGTCTAGACTCTGGCCGGTCCATATAGACTCAGGGCATAGTCGCACTACCCAGCAATTGCCTAAATGTATCTCACTGCAATTACAACCAGACGTTGATGCATCTTAAAGCACCAGTACACACCACACATAGGCCCGCGGGTGTCAGCATGAAACCTGCACCACTTCGGGAGCCACCGATTCCTTTTTTCAACGGCGCCCCGGGCCGCCCGGCGCCTCTGAGTTTCGCTTGTCGCGACAAAAACTTTCTGCAAGGCTGGGGCCGTGTACTCGCTCGCGGTTTAAAGTTTAAACACCATTCGACTCCAGAGCTCAGTTCAAAAAGTCCCCGATACGAGTATGCCCTCAAACGAGCCGTCCACATCTATTGCCGAGCGAGAGAAGTTGAGGGACAACACAGTCGCTGTCTTCCCTACCCTGTCTATTGCCGAGCAAGAGAAGTGGAAGAAGGCAAGTCGTGCATCCCTGTCCGGGTAGGGGGGATGGCGACTCTGTTGTCCCTCAAACTTGTTGAATGTGGGGCGTCATCCAACAAGCATGGGCTGCTCAGACCAGAATTCCAGATTGGGAGCGATTGAACCCCCCATGTGTGGCAGTCACGGCAGTCGAGGACCCTAAGCAGGCGCCTCTTTACTGCACAACCACTCTGGGACTCTTCAAGTGGGAACCACAATGGGACTCTTCAAGTATGAACCACTATGAGACTCTTCAAGTGGGAACCACTCTGGGACTCTTCAAGTGGGAACCACTATGGGACTCTTCAAGTGGGAACCACTCTGGGACTTTTTAACTGGGAATACAAAACTGAACTTTGTTTATGGCAAAATCACCACCGACTCCGGCGCAGAGGACATTACTGCCCTATGCGCACAGGGGAGAATCATAACCAACAGAGCGCAATTCAAAAAAAAAAAAAAAAAAAAAAAAAAAGAGGAGCGCAAATGATTCTGACATTTGCCTGGACAGACACCTCCCACTTGCTTCTATGAAACCATACCCATCAGTTAGTCAACCTCTGAGCAGGAAAATGAACCCGACTCCCGACTAGAGGGACCGCTAGAAGCGAAAGATAAAGAATTTAGCAAACAGGCCTAGCTCAGTTGGTAAACGCATGAACTGTTGAAATACAGACGTAAGCTCAGATCAAGACGGAACTAGTTGAGAGAATTTCTGAATTACCTGGTGCTGGTTGCAGGGGCATCGCGCTTCTCAAGGGAAAAAGAAACAAGAACTAGAAAAAAAGAGGGAGTCAAGCAGGCTCATGCAAATGCAATTTGGGAATGAGGATACAGGAATGGGGCGGTGGTTTACTCTGTGTGTGTGTGTGAGTGTGTGTGTGTGAGAGAGAGAGAGAGAGAGAGAGAGAGAGAGAGAGAGAGAGAGAGAGAG